GGGTCCTAAGATCACTAATTCACTCAATCAACCAACACGCTATGAAGAAGAAATGAGACTTCTTAAATGCATCAACATCCTCCATAGTGCTACACTACCTCCCTAGGTTGCAAATCACTACAGAGACTGTCAATTCAAAGCATACTGAGCAGGCAATTGCAAGGAACAAGTACTTGGAGCCCTCAAATTTAAAAATTTGGACAGTGGACTAGGCTCCAAGCACACAAACAGATCTAATGCAGTCAAAAGATAAACATCCCCCCCCACACTTAAGATCGACATTGCCCTCAATGGAGGAGAGGGAAGGAAAGGGGAACGATGTTACCGGTATGCACGGACTGCAGGAGACTGGAAATGGACCAGTCGGGAACACAACACAGCTCAAGGGGAACAGAAGAGCTCAACCAGAATATGTTAGGTCCGATGTCAGCCCAATAGACATCATCCAGAACAAAGGAAACAAACCAAAACCAAACCAAATCGCAATTCGACTCGAAACATAAGAAAGAAGGTCCAACCGTGGTGGGGTTGCCTCCCCACAAGCGCTTCTTTACCGTCTTTTAGCTGGACGCCCATGGTGGATACTCAGGGAGGTGCAGGAACAGGTGGCTCCAAGAGCGGATCCACATCGCTCTTGAGGTACAGCTTCAGGTGGTGACCGTGCACCCGACGGTTGCAACCACCAGCATCGGTCAGCTCGACCTGGCCATCCGGCAAGATGCAGGCGAGTGAGTACTCGGATGGCCAGGGTGGTCGTGGTGCAGGGGGTGGGACCAGCTCATAGTGGTCTCCACTCTTCTTCCGTGCCGGCTTAGCCACCTGCGGCTTCGGTCGCCACTCCTCCTTGAGCTTTTTGTTCGGAGGCGAGACTGGATGGAGTGACGGCGAAGGAATGATAGGCGGGTCCTGCAAAATGAGAGGTGCAGAAGGGTACACGACAGGCTCGTGTACCTGATCAGAAATAGCATGCACAGGCGATACAGAAATCATAGCACAATGATCAAACTCAGTCACAGGAAAAATAGCCTGTTCATTTCCAGCACGCAGGATCAGTTTACCATCATGCACATCAATCAGTGCCTTGGCGGTGGCAAGAAATGGTCTACCTAGAATCAAAGGCACATCCACATCATCATTTATATCCAGAATAACAAAATCAACAGGATATGTGAATGCACCCACATTAACAAGCAAATCTTCTATGATACCCCTAGGATGCACCACGGAACGATCAGCTAGCTGAATGCTCATCCTAGTAGGGCTAAGTTCACCTAGGTCTAGCTTTCTGAACAATTTATATGGCATGACATTGATGCTAGCTCCTAGGTCCGCCAAGGACTTTCCTACATGCATGCTGCGAATAGTAAGAGGGATAGTAAAACTCCCTGGATCCTTGCGCTTTTCGGGCAGCTTGTTCTGCAGGATGGCAGAACATTCCTCGCTCAGCAGCACTGTCGAGAGATCCCCAAGTTTCTTCTTGTTGGTGCAGAGATCTTTCATGAACTTAGCGTACTTGGGCATCTTTGACAGTGCCTCCACAAATGGTACGCTGATGTTGAGCTGCTTCAACATTGCCATAAAATTGGCAAACTCAGTCTCCAGCTTGTCTTTGTGAAGGCGAGTGGGGAAGGGAAGCTGGGGTACGTGCTCCTTCACCACTGGTTGTGGCTTGGGAGCAGGGGCTTCCTTCTCCACCCGCACTTCTGCATCACCGGCTGGAAGTGCTGAAGCAGGTAATGGTTCCTCCTGCCTGGTCGGGGCAGGATCACCTGATGTAGCCCTGCCGCTCCTAGTGAAAATGGCACCCAACTGCTCGTGCGGGTCCCGTGGATTAGGGATGGTGGTGGCAGGTAGAGTCCCCGGGGCCCGAGTAGTAATCTGGCGAGCTATGGCGCCAACCTGGTTCTGTAAATCTTGCAGAATGGCACCTTGGTTTCTCTGGCCTGCCTCCAGGGTTCTCTGGCCTGCCTCCAGTGAAGCTATGGTCTGATCCATCCTCGTGATACTTGCCTGGCTGGTGGTCATGAATGCTGCCAAAATGTTCTTCAGCTCGGTCATCTGATTATCGGGAGCTGGCGCTGCTGCTGGCTCGGCATACTGACGCTGAGGCTGCTGGAATGGCTTCCCTTGCCTAGGCTGGTAAGGCTGCTGCTGTGGTGGTGGCCCCTGCCTAGCCTGGAAGGGTTGCCTCTGCTGAAAACCGCTTGCTGGTGCTGGAAAACCAGGTGGTTTGTTGGTGTTGCTGCTCTAGGCAAAGTTGGGATGCTGGCGCCATCCCTCATTGTAGGTACTGCTGTATGGGTCCAGGCGCCGAGCATTGGCGATGAAGTCCACCTGCTCTTGGGGAGTAGAAGACTCCCTCATAGACTGACAATCCTCCACGAGGTGATTCAGGCTCTCACACCACTGACACTGAGCTACTGGAGGCGTAGCTGCACCTCGGCCCGGAAGGAGACCGTTAGGCTGCTTCAATGTCTGCACCAACTCAGCCACCTGCTGCTCTAACCCGGATCTGGCCTCCATGGCATGCACACCACGGTCCCGGGAATGCCTGCCTCTGCTGCTCTGCCCCCAAGAATGATCGCGGGCAGCCAAGGTACTAATCATCTGGTTCAGCTCGGGTGGAGTCTTAGTGAGAATATCCCCTCCTGGGCATAAAGACTCTATCACCCTCTGGCTGTCTGGGGTGAGGGCAATGTAGAAGTTCCCTACTGTGAAAGCATCGCTGAAGCCATGATGGGGACACTGCCAGAAGTATCCCATGTACCGCTCCCATGCATCACGAAGGGACTCATCTAGCTCTTGGCGGAAGTGAGTGATCTCCCGCTGAATCTCAGTAGTCTTCGACGCCGGATAATACCTGTGCACGAACTTGTCTGCCAGATCGTCCCAAGAAGTGATGGACAATGGGGGCTGGGTCTCCAACCACCTCTTAGCATTCCCCGCCAGAGAATGGGGGAAGAGGTGAAGGCGGATTGCATCATCCGGAACACCATTCAGCTTGAACCCGTTCGTCAGCTGCAGAAAACAGGAAAGGTGTGCCCGGGCTTCCTCATCCTTCAAGCCATGGAACTGGATAGAGGATGTGATGAGCTGAATCCAGCATGGCTTGATCTCGAAGTTATTTGCAGGAATGGGCGGATAGAGGATGACCGGGCGGATGTCAGCAATCCGTGGAGTATAGTAGTACTCCAAGGTGGGACCCGGTGGTGGTGGATGATGATGGCCAGCTCCTTGGGGGTTTGGGTCGTTCCCCAGGATCTGGTTCCGAGGAGGTGGGTTCTGATCGCCTTCCATCTCGTACTCGTCCTCGGAGTCGCTGCTCAATTGGCCGTCTCTGCGCTCCACCGTAGCCAGTCTAGCTCGCTGTTGTTTCCGAAGTTGTTTGCAGGTGCGCTCAATCTCAGGATTCAACGGCAGTAAACCTCCCGACTGGCTACGGGTCATGCACTATCTGCACACAATCAAGCAATGCAAACCCGTGAAGGCACAAGTGGGAAAACCAAAAACTCAATGCAAAAATGAAAATGCTAAAGTAACAGAAATCACTTTTCTTCAACAACCTAGCCGTCCCCGGCAACGGCGCCAAAAACTTGACTCACTCCTACTGTCACTCTAGAAAATGGCCAAGTGTAACCACTTCCTAAAGCGTAGTATAGCGGGTTTGGGTTTTACTGTCAACCCGGGTCCTAGATGTGATGACTACTCAGTGAATTCGTATTATCTAGCAATGCAACTTTAGTGAAGATCTAAACTAACAAGCAAACAAAACAACTAAACGGTTGTATTCAGGTCAAGAGAGGTCACCCGGAGTAAGAGCAGGGGTAAAAACATGTGTAACTAACGGTCTATCAAGGTTCCCATGATAGTAGTTACATGCCACCCAATCTACCGCCACTTTGCCATTCATCCAACCAACCGCATCCAGCCTGAATTTCTCCGGTATTACGGCCGGATCTACCACTTCCCTTACAAAAATAGGATGTTTTCACCACCGCCGGTGGCAAAGATTTAAATCGCGACGGCGACAATCAAAACGACAACCTAATTCTGAACAAGATTCAACAGGGAGAACATGACGCCCATCGAGGAGCTGGTGATCTCGCGGATCGAAGCTCGGCTGAACGAGAGAGAATTGAAGCCGGAGGAAGAGACCAGAAGTCCGCGGCAGTGCGCGAGGCAGATTGTAAAGCAGGTGAAAGAGAGCGTCAGTAGGAGAGTCGGTTTGGACATTACCGACTCCGAAAATCTCCCAGATACTTCTCCTCTGCCTCCACCCCAGGCTCCTTCCACCCAATCAAGTACTGAATCTTGTAAAGATTCCCTGCACGATGAGGAAACGCCGTCTCCGCCGCCGACACCTCGTCCATCGCTCCGTCGTACGGGTTGAAAACGAACCCTGTTTTCCCCGACTCAATCATCTTCGCCCAAATCCCTTCCAAGCTAGCTTTCAGGATCGGTGTCACAACTCACAACGTAGTCCGATTTCCTCTTGCCAGATTTGATCGATTGCAGCTCTCTGCTCAGCAGCGCCGCCGTGTTATTCTCGTCGTCTAATCCCCATCATAAAAGAAATTATGGGTTTTTATTTTTTTTTAAATAAAAGTGATATGAGGTGGGGTTTTTATTTTTTTAAATAAAAGTGATATGAGGTGGAAATGAGATGGTAATTTAAAAAAATTTAATTTTATTAATTTTAAATTGCCACGTCACACATGTAACGGTCAACTTTTAGAGTTGACCGCCACATAAGCAAAAGTTAACGGAGTTGGACGGAGAGTGACCAAACGTGAACGATTTCAGTAAACTGAAGTACCACCAATAGATTTAAATATTTCGTGTGATCAAACTTGAACGCTTTTTATAATCTCAATGACCAACCATGCAATTAACCCAAAACATAGGTGCGCTATTTGTTAGTAACCCCAAAGTTTGGTGGCTGACTTTTATGCTATTAATCCTCCAAACACCCGAAGCTTGTCAGAATGCTATTGGGCTTGAGAACAGAGCCCAACTTTATTTTTACTCTCTCCTCTTTTTTTTTTAATTTCTTTTTCCTTTTCCGGATGGTGGTGGTTTGGGTTCTTCTGCGAAATGTGCTACTTGTCTGCTGTCTATTGTATCCCTGCGGCCTGCAAACTGCAATTGAGATTGGTTGTTGTTGGTAATTGGCATCCGGCTTCCCTCCTCCTCGTCCTCCACAGAAGGCGAGGGAAGATACCGAAAAACAGAGAGAATGGTGATGTGGGTATTTGGGTATGGTTCCCTGATCTGGAAAGCTGGGTTCAACTACGACGATCGCCTCGTTGGTTTTGTCAAAGGCTATCGCCGCGTCTTTTACCAAGGTCTTCTGCTTTCCTTCCGTACTTCTTCCTGCCCTGTCCTCTGTATCCCTCTCTCTAGCTTAATTTCTTAGCTAACTTTCCCCCTTTTTTTTTTGGGTGTTTGGTACGATTAAATCAGGCAGCACTGACCACAGAGGCACTCCAGAGTTCCCAGGAAGAACCGTCACTTTGGAGCCTGCTGATGGCGAATTTTGCGTCAGTTCTTTCCTTCTAGTTTTTTCGTCTACTTGTTGGAATTAGAATTTTTTTGAAGTGTTCCCTTTGTTCATAGGTAGTAGTAGTAGTATTGTACATCTATTCGAGCCTGCCTCGCTCGTGTTCATCCCCAGGAGGATTTCTTTCACAATCCATTGCGTTTTAACCTGCTTGTCATTTTTCATTTTGGCAAAGGTTACAGTGGGGAGTTGCATACAAGATCTCGGGCAAAGAAGATGAAGATACTGCACTGACTGTAAGTAAAAGTTTGTCAGTTTTTGTTGGGTCTTTGTTTGTGTTGGGTTTGGAGTTTACTCAAATAACTGGGATTGTTATGTTGGTTTGGTCTTTTGATTGAGGACACTATAGCATCTTGAAGTTAGGGAGAAGCAGTACGATGAGAAGGCCTACCTTGATTTCTTCACCGTAAGGGGAATGTTGTTAACTATGATTGAGATTTTTATGTCTAGCTTAAACTGAATTGGTTGACAAAAATTGAGCTCAGGATCCAACAGCTACAACTCCTGCAATTCCCGGTGTAATGGTGTGAGTATAAAAAGACACCCATCGTTTTTAGTACTCTCATTTTGCAGCAGCTCTTCTAAACCATGAGCCCAATCATGTTGCAGGTACATAGGTTCTCCAGACAAGAAGAGAAACACAAACTACTTGGGGCCTGCACCCATGGAAGACATAGCCAAGTAATGCTTTCAAATCGATAGAGCGAGCTAGCAATTGATGTATTTATACTGCCGCTTATCGTTTTGTTTGGGCAGACAAATTGTTGAAGCTGAAGGCCCCTCGGGACCTAACAGAGAATACCTTTTTAAACTGGAAGCAGCGCTTCTTGAGATTGGTAAGCTCTAGCGTTACTTTATATAGCTGCTCCTTGTTGGAAAGGATTTCAGTAATCTAACTGACTGACTGTATTGGCGGACTGCTGAAGGATGCAAGGACAAACATGTCATGGAACTTGCAAGCAAGGTACGAGCAATTCTTTTGGAGAATGAATGATCGACTCAAAGCTGCTTCTCTCCACATTTGTTTTTACCCTAAATTAAAAGGAGTTTGTAGGTCGGTATTATAGACCCCCGAGCCGGTATTGGCTGATAGATATCATATGCTGCCTCGAGCCGATGAATTTTTTGGTGGGCATATTTTACTTTACGGGTGGCTTGGATGATGAAATAGGGCGATTGATCCATGGAAAATGGTTTAAATTCCATGCAAACCGGAAAAGAATGATTTGTTTGTCCATGTTTTAAAGCAACTACCGAGTCCACATTCTATGGAGATTGGGTTAATATTTCGTGGAGGGAAAGGATCTCACCATCTGATATTGAGTTCAAAAGTTGTTGACAAAGCTTTTGCTTTGAACACTTTGAAGAGCTGGTTGTTTTCATTACATCTCGAGCTTATATAGCTCAAGTTTTGTGGTTACAACTTACAAGCCACCGTTGAGATTTACGGTTTAGGCGAAACTTGGGAATGAAGTACAAGCCGAAAGAGAAAAGTGAACAAATTAAGATAACTAGTTTTTTGGCCCGCGCTACGCGGCGGTATACCAATATACACTTATTTAATTTATATATAATAAATAACTATCGAATTGGGCAAGAAGAGATACGGAATTGAAATAGACGGCAGAAGAAGATTTAAAAGTAATTATTGATAATGCAAACATGGGCGTTGATTGTGCTCAACATATTTGGGACAAAGAAGTAACCCAGAAAATAAAGTCAAAGATCTAAAACCCTCTAACTGATTTATGAAATGTATTATAATTTATGTTACTGTTATAGAATGATGTTGCGTGAATTTTATACAATGTATGGTCTAATAATAATATCAAGTTAAGAAAAAGTAACACATTTGATTAACCTATTATGTAAAATTTAATTTAACTTATGGAACAATTGTGTAATGCAAATGGGGTGAATGGTGAATATTACAGATAATAATAATACAGGAATTTTAATAACTAATAATATAATTAAGTTATAAAAAGTATCATATTTGATCATACTGTTATGCAAACCTTATAAAATATTTGTTTGAAATTGATGAGACGGTCGACCGTTTAGTTAATAATAAATAATTTTTTATTAAACCTATACTTTATAGTACCTTTGTGTAATGAAAATTGATGAGATGGTCAATTGTTTAGTTAATAATAAATAAATTTTCATTAAAACTCATATTACGGAAGACTATGTAATATATATTTCCATTGATACATAAGAAATGTATATCCCTCCATAACCTTTACGTAATATCTTAATCATTACGAAATACTTACTGTGTCACGTTTAGTTTAATTGATACTTAAAAAATAACTAACCTTTCATAACTTTTATAAAATGGTGTTACATAAATATTTCATAATTTATGGTATAATAATAAAGTTATGTTACATAAAGTATCACATTTGATTAAACTATTATGTAGAAGTTACTTACCTTACGAAACCTTTGTGTAGTGCAAATGGATTACATGATGAATATTGTAGTTAATATGATTAAAGTTTGTTTAATTGTTACAAAAGAAACGACTATCTTTTCATAAGTTTGAAGTAATATGTTTGTAATTTTGTGACTTTTACAAATCGGTGTTACATAAATTATATGTAATGTATGGTCTAATAATAAAATTAAATTACGAAAAGTATTACATTTGATTAAATAATTATGTAAAGTTTAACTTACCTTACGAAATCTTTGTAATTGCATATTGATGTGGTGAACAATGTAGTTAATGTAATTACCATTGTTTTGAACTTACCTTACGGAACTTTGGGTAGTACAAATTGATGGTAGTTAAAAATAAGGAATTAAGTTGTGAACTTTCTTTACAGAATTAAATTAATAATAAAGGAATTCATGAATTTGATGATGCAACCATTCAATTAGATATATTTAGTAGTTACATCATGCGATAGAGTTTGGAAAGATAGTACTCGCAATTCCTCTTTTGCTTGTGCATACAACCAACAATAGGTTATAAATCGTCCGAAGATTTCATCAAACCTTGTAATCTAAACATGAGTTTGCACTAATTTAGCCTCTAATTTATTTAAGAAGGCGAAACTAACTATTCTCAAATTGGATTAATCGCATACTAAATTCATTCATTAATCTTATAAACTCTCATCTTAATATAAGTAAAGCTAAAAGAGTAACTTGAATGTAAGCAAGCATTCTGATTCGTGTGCGCTCGATGTTGAATTTTTTGTTGTAAAGTTTGTCTTATGTGTTTGAATGAAATCATTCACCCTTATATAAAAGAAGGAAGTACGGCAACAAAAAGCAATTAGAGTTAGAAATTGCATAAATTCATCATATAATGTGCTTAAATCATTAGGATTTATTGAAATTTGACAACATGACCTTTGGTCATGGAAATTACAATATCAAGTTTGAGTTGGTTAATTAATTTTGTTGTTTGGATAATTGCAAATCTAGAATTTAATTTCATATATGACGGATTGTAGTTAATATAAATACTTTCAAACACAAAACCCAACTAAATTGTTTATTGTGGTGTGTTTCAATCATATATTTGAAGACCTTCGTACAAAGTTTTAATTAATGGACAATGAACAAATGAATGAGAGAGAGAGAGAGAGAGGAGGCTTGGTAGAGTGGGAATGATGATCGGTTGTGGGGTTTGTTTAGAATATAGGGATGGGAGAGGAGAGGGAGAGGGAGTGACAGAGAGGTTGATTAATGGATCTATACTCTAGATAGGAAAGGAAGTGAGTGGGTAAAAAGTAACAAAGAAGAGAGGAAGGCAAGGTCTGCACGCAAAAAAGGGTGGCAGGCGTCAGCTGTAGCTGTTTTTGTTTTAGCCCAAAATAATCAACGCCAAACTTGCTTAGCCCAATGCAGCGAACTCAGGCTTACATAAAAATGCCTGCAGGTGATAAAACCCTTCAGTGAACAGTAAATCCCGATTTTTTCTTAAGGAACAGTAATCTCGCTTTTATGGTAATTTTTATGGACTTGTGCTTTAATAATTCTAATTTGGCGTTGCTTGGTAATTTGCGAGAAACGACAACGCTCTTGGTACGGTTACTTCGGATTGCAAGGACAATGATCGTCTTGGTAGTTGATGTAGGTTCAAATTAAGAAGACCACGAAAAATGTGTGTTTTTCTCTTATTCCCCAGCATTCTGGTTGACAGATGTTGAGCACACCAAGTTTGGAGAGAATGTAAGATAATGTCGCCGGAGGTAGGGGATTGGTGAATGGGTCAAGTAATTGGTGAATAGTGAAAACATGAAGAGCTTTGATTGTTTGAGCTAGGGTTGAGCACGGGGCTAAGATCCGGTGACTAGGGGTGTCCCTTAGTCACATGGTTAAGTGAATCTCAGCCACCCAACCTCATTAAAATTCAAGGGCTCCAATTAATCCAATTTAATGAAGAGCAATATAGAAATTACATGTTTATATGTTACTTTTAATGGGTAATTAGCATAAAAGGTCACAAATCTATTCACTTTGTACAAAATGGTCACAAATCTTTCATTTTGCACGTTTCAATAACAAATGTTTGGACTAATAACGAAACGGTAATTCCGTCCATCTCCATCCAAAAAACCGTTACTTCCATCCGGTCACCACGCCACGTCATCTAAGATATGAATAAAAAATTCATGACCAAACCCAATTGAACCGAACAATGCACCCGAAAATTCCAACTCCATACCCACCCACCGGAAATCTTGGAGACACACACTGTCACTTTCCTCAGCCCCTTTACTAAGCGATTCAGCTCCCAGAGAAAGTTCTACAGCTCGCAAGCCCTCGGCGGCCACCAGAACGAGCACAAGCAAGAGCGAACGCTTGCTAAAAGATGCCTCGTGGTGATGAGATGCAGCAGTGCTTTTGGGTACCACCCTTATTGGCAAGTCTATTACGGCGATAGATTTCTCTATTGCCGATATTTGAAGAGCAAATGAGTTTGCGAGGATAGATCGATTCTGCCGCCGATGCAGGCCCCATGGACCGCGATAATGACGAGATTTCTGCTCCGCTCGATCGCCGTAATGGCGTCCAGCAGGAACTTGATGTCCAGGCGGAGCCACTCGTTGGATGAGAAAGTTGTTAGTGCTGGATTCGTGATGTTTGTCAACCTATATTGTAATGTTTAAAAGTTCAGTTTGTATTGTTTATATAAATTCACTTTGTATTGTTTGTTATTCTTGTTTTTCATTTTTATCTATTATGTTTGTAATTTTTATATGACTATTTTGTATATATTGTAATTTGTAATGTTTGTCGGTTCCTTTTGTAATGTTTGTAAGCTTTGTTATTTTGTAATGTTTGCCGATTACTTTTGTAATGGTTGTAAGCTTTGTTATTTTTGTGCACCATGTTTGTCATGTTTTTTATGTCTAAAAAACAAACTGGTTGACGTTTGGATGAAACTCCTCTATATAGGGATGAAGCTTCCAAAATCAACCCGGTTGTTTTTCCAGTTTGTATGTTCTGTCGATCTAGTTTGTCATTTTTGTCCACCATGTTCGTAATGTTCGTATGTCTAGAAAACAATTGGGTTGACTTTGGAAGGGAGCCCCTCTATATAGGGATTGTTTTTTCTTTTTGTATTGTCTGTATTGTTTGTCGGTGTAGTTTGTATTGTTTGTACCGTTCATATGTTTGTAATGTTTTTAAATCTGTTTGTATGTTTTATCGTTATGATTTGTACTGTTTGTAAATCCAGTTTGTATACTTAGTAATTTTTCATAATAGCCAATTACCCCTCCCACTAATTAAAAATCCCTTCCCACATTTTAACCGTTGGATTGAAGTGTCCAGATCTAATGGCTAGGAGAGGCTTAGTCAAGTGACTAAGGACCCCCCTAGTCATGGGATCCGCTCTCGTTGGGCACGTGAGTGGTTAATCTACGGTTTGATATCGACCCATCCGCAACTAACCTTAACTGTAATGGGTGAGTGATTGAGGTGGGTGGATTGCGGATTGATAAACCTCTTACTCACACTTATTCGAGTGGGTAGTTGGTGGATTGCAGGTCACCCAAATGATTTGCATGCTATTTTCACATGACAAAAAGTTGTTTCTTATTTATATTATCAAATAGTCATCATTTTTCCAAACCGCATTACACACTGATCATTGACTTCTAAAGGTGGGGAATAAAGTAAGTTTTATGACTACTATTATTGTTTACTGTTTTGTATAATGTCCATTACATATCGAGATGCAAATTATAAACTATTGATTGTATCAAAATCGAGAAAAAACATTAATTTTCTCTACATAGTTGGTTGATAGAGTAATGGAATATTTTCTCCAAATACTACACGAATCAACAAAAGAAAAAATGGGAGGTGTCTAAATTATTAGAGTGAAGAATTTATTATAAATGCTAGTTAATTTGCTTAATGACTAGTTAGAGAATTACTTTTGTGGTTAACCCACAACCCAACTGTACCCATCCACCACCCAACCCAACCCAAAGAAGAATATGGGTGGATAGCGGGTCAAAATTCTACCAACTCGCCAGTAAG